ACCCCGTGTTTAGACACCAACACGTCGTGTTGACCTTAATGAGAACCACGCTTTTCCTTAACTAAACACACCATGTTGGTTCCTCCAACACGCCGTCTCCGGTCCTCAAAATGGGATTCATTCCTTACAATTGCTCCTCAAGATTCCGGGTGTTACAATTACTAATATTAGTAATTACATATGTCAATAAGAATTTGTAATAATAATTCTAATCACATCTGATTATGATTGTAATCACATGTGATTGATCAATGTTCAACAAGTATGCTCAACATAACGATAATCACATGTGATTGATGAATGTTGAACAAGTATGCTAATGTGATTATATAAATGTTAATACCAATTTGTAATCACATGTGATTATGTGCTAAAATAAATGAAATTTTTGAATATTGGAGCAAAACATTAAGTAATCACATGTGATTTAATATTATTTTATATTAATATATTACTAATCACATATGAATAACTTACTATACGCTTCTTTATAGGTTGAATAGCCATTCACTAAACATTTCTTCTTTTGTTGTCAGTTTAGTTTTCAAGCAAATGGATTTTTCTTTGTAAGGGGACTTGCTGGTTGGTCCAGGTTTCATTTTCTTTTTTTGAGCTAGTTTATCAGAGAAATTTTGTTGTTCAGAAACTACAAGCACAACCACTTTAATATCATTTTTCGAAAGAAGCAATTTCTCTCAGTTTTTTTCTTTATAACCATTCATTGTCTTTTCGAAATAAGAGTTGACCTTTTCCTCATTTAGGAACTGTAAGTCATTTCTGATGTGTTCCTAAGAATATTCTTCTGAGCATTTTCTATAGTTTTGTCTACAACTTCTTTATTTTTATTCTATATAAATAATATGAATGAAAAATAATTATTTTTCATCATATGTGGATATAAGTTTTAAACACCTTGTAATCATATATGATTTTAAAACACTATACAATATCATATCAGATTCTAATCATGTGATTGAATATATATATATATATATATATATATATATATATATATATATATATAATATATATATATAAATATATATATACAAAGAGAGAGAGAGAGCTAGGATCATGTATAAACATTAAGTATTGTATGAATGTAAGACTAATTCTAGACCAACCATGTGATAAAGGTATAATATTAATTTTAATTATAATTAATTATTATGAAAAAAATATAAAACATTTAATAATCCTTTAAATTAGGTATGTTAGTTTCACCTTATAAAAAAAATCGTTGTCTGCTTCATCCCAGGGAATAACACCACTGATCCTTCACCAATTTCATCACTATCAAAAACAATTCGACCTCAATAAATCCCATGTTTCAATCGATTTTGCATGGTAGTAATAATCTCCATCACTTTTCTTCACCTTTCTCAATCAAACAAAGGGTTTATTGAAACTAATACTCAATACCCAACCCTAAGAAAAAGCAAAGAGTGCTGAATTTATTAACTAGGTCGCATTCTGACCATAAACCAGGTGACTATCATCATTCTTTATATATTCTTCTTAGATGCAGTCAATCAACTTGTGTTATTGTCTTGATTTTAGCCAAGGAAAATTTCTAGATAATTTCCATTATTGTTCATATTTCGTAACTTCACAGTGTCGGTTCATACAACATATAAAGAGGCATTTTGTTTCTATAAGTTTTTGTCAATTATGTACGGTTATGTGATAAACCATCGTCATTGGATTGAAGATATGCGAGACGTTGCACTTGAACAAGCTGATCCTAATGGTCACGATTAAATATTGGTGGATGTTGGTGGCGACACTGGGTTCACTACTTTAGGTATTGTAAAACATGTCAATGCTAAAAATGTGACTTATTTGTAACAATCGCTTCATCATATTACAAAATCTAAGGAGAATAGGTCTTTAAAGGAGCGGATGATTATTAAGGGGAAGCTAAAGATCTTCCTTTAAAACAGATTATGCGAATAGAATTTGTGTCAGTTCAAAGGTATAACCTCTAAATGTCCATTCTTATGTGTTTTCCTTGGCATCTTGGAAGTGATTATTGTTATTTGTGTAATCATATAGTTAGTTGATTGAGGGCGTATTTGGATGTGTGATTAAACTGATTATTAAGACAATTGAGTGTTTAGATAAAGTGATTATATGATTTCTCAATTAGTGAAAACAAAAAGATTTTAATAATCTAGGAAAGAATTGACAAATTAAAGATAATTATTGAGATATGTGTAAAATTGACCAATTATCCATAGCTTGAAGCAACTGGTTATCCAATACCGATTCTGCAAGTCATGGAAAAAGCAATTGGGATTTTAAAAGTGATTGTTGTCTGATGCAAGAAAGTTGCAGTCCACTATTTCAACACTAGTGATCCTTATGTCATCATCAAACTCGGAGATCGACTTATCTTTAAAATATATAATTACTTACCTGCTTCAAATTATCATTGAACTCTAACATTTGGTTAACTTGGTTCCATGTAATGTTGTAGTTGCAGACAACAAAGACGAAGGATATAAATAGTTGATTGAATAATGTCTAGAATAAAGAGATGACTTTCTCGCTTGTAGTCAAGTTCTAAACTTGGTAAATTCTAAATTTCTAAACTTCAATCTGCATTTATATGGCTATATTCTTAAAGATTATGGTTTTACTTTGTGACATGAAGTGTTTGATAAAGACGTTTTCAAGGTTGATGATAAGATTAGGCATGCTCATGTGAAATAAGAGACAAAGAAACATCCCGGAAGGAAGAAAAAGGAAAATTCCTAGTTCTCCTTTTTTTAAATTCAATGCACATTCACCAGCATTTGTCCAAAGTTCGCAGTCCCAAATTATTGTTCCAGTCATGTTGATGTTGGGGTAAGTTCTCAAAGTACCATTAACATCCTCCTTGATGTATTACCTTTTTCATCTATTCAAACATAAAGTCAGAATGTTCACATTAATTTAAATAAATGTTTTAATCATGTATGATGGAATTGAGCTTTGCATGTCTATATTCTCGTAGCCAGGTACTTGTTGAGATAACTGTAATTTGGTTCTTTTGTTGCTTCCAAAGACCAATAGGTAGCCCATATTTGGAGAAGTGTAATATCATATTAATACTTCAATTGATCAATTGTTAATTCTTAAAGAATGAATTCTAATTCTTAAAGAATTAAGAATGGTTGATGGTGGTGGTTTGCAGTGATGAAGTCTTGATGGTGGCATTTTAATGTAAATATATGGCAAGAAAGGATGGTGAAGCATGTGATAATCGATATCGATCAGAGAAAATGGAAACTCAAAAATTTTTAGACATTGTATTCTTCAAGAATGTTTAAATTCTTAAAGAATTCTTCATTTGTAATAAAAACTTGTGGTGTTATATGCTAGAACACTATATTCTACAAGAATAGTTTCAATTATATAAAAGAATTGTGGTGCTACAAAATTATCACTTTAATTCTTACAGAAAATTTCAATTGCATAAAGAATAATATCTAAATAATTAAATCTGTTAAACCATCTTTAACCATAAATTCTACAAAAATGTTGTTAATTTAAATCAATTGTTAGCGTAAAATTTTAGAAGAATATTTTATTCGTTGTTAAGTGATTCTTAATCCTCACTCCTTAAAAAATCAAGTTAAGGTTCAAGATTTTGCAATATATTCTTCATGAATTTTTTATTAGTATTTCATACAAAAAAACATTTGATAATTTTTCTAGGAAACGTACATGCTAATTTATATTAATTTAATTTATATTTTATTTTATTAAATAATTGGACTTACTTGCCTAAAATGTAGGTAATTTTCATTCCGCTCTTAATAAAATGTTATATATGCACTTATCATTAATTAAGTTTAATTATATAGTAAAATGTTATCTTATGTTAATATCATGCACCCTAAAATCACAAGCCCTGCGATTCTTTTAATCTAATTGTCATAATTTGATCATACATTCACATAATACTTGTGATTATGTTATATATATATATATATATATATATGATTGATGTATAAAAATTATTTTTTTTAATCACATTTGATTAAATTTCTTTTAGGTAGTTAAAATATGGTAATCATATATAATTAAACGAGAGTATGGGTTGTTTATTTGTATAATCATATTTTATTGATGTATAAAAGATCAAGTTAAAATAAAAGTAACAACAAAAACAATTTTATGATTGAAAAGTTGTGTTTATAATCATACTAGGTGTAAGACCCATGTATTACATGAGTTCATTTAAAAAAAATCAAATATAAAATTCTAAACAGAAGTTTGAATTTATAAGAAAAATTAGAAAAATATTGAATTATTAAAATAAAAGTGTTTTATCTCTTTTAAATTTAAACAAATAATTTAGATAAATAAACTAAGGAAACTAATGGGTTTTAATTTAAAATTTTTGAAATTAGAATGAAAGTCAATTAATGAAATTGAAATGCATTTATTATTATATTTATTACAATTAATAAATTTAATTAAATATTTTATGAAATTTAATAAAAATGAAACAACCACAAAATGTCATGTGGAAAAAATTTAATTAAAAATAACCATGTAGCAAAATCAATAAGAGTGTGACATGTGGCAAAAAGATTTTCATTTATTAGAGTAAATATTATTTTAATCATATATGACAAAAACATTTATGATTACAACAGATGTTAAATCATATATATATTAAAACACTATTATAAAATCCAAGCGTTATTATCACAACATATTATAATCACATGTGATTATAACATATCTTAATCATATATGCCTTAAAAATGTAAACCTAATTTTTGTTTTTGATAAGATTAAATTATTATGGATTTAACAAACTAATCCATAATTCATTTAATCATATATGATTATATATAAATATCAATATTTTTCCTATAATCATATGTAACTAGATGAGTAACCCCGCATTGCGGGGCCAGATTGGTGACTTTTTTGCTCTCCCACAATAAGAAAACTTGTCATAACAAATGAGAACTATATATAATCTTTATAGTCTTTAGAGTGTCGTACAACAAAAAGTAAGTAGTTTATTGAAGCCATAAACAGAAGAAACAACACATGAATCATCAAATCATATGAATTATTATTATTATGAACTTCTAAACGATTGCAAGCAATGAACTTTATTTAATGAACAGATATGAGAATACGCTAAATGGAACTGGAAGTGACCATTACAATATTCTCCAACAATAACGTGTCTTCAGCCTCCTTGAAGAAGGAAATGCACATCCAATCTTTTGCAAGCATTTGATCTCATGCCACATAATGAAGAAAAAACTGAATGGTTAAAATTTTGTATAACCAATAGAAAATTCTAAGTAAGTTGGTATTATGGGTAAAAATTAAAACATAGAGGTTAAGTACGTTGCTATTTCTCGCAATATAAAAAACAAAAAAAAAAAATCAAAGGGGAGATGGACAACCAACCGGTAATAAACAATTGAATTAAAATAAGGAAATTAAATTTTTTTTTGTACTGTATTGAAATATGTTAATAGGATCAGGCTAAACTGGTGTTGATAAATACATAATATATAACAATGTAATTTTGTTGGGTAGTTTGTTTTTTAATCATACCGGCAAAAAAAATTTCGTCACTTTGAAAAATGATTTTTTTTACTATTTGAAATAATGTCGATGACAAATGTGTAATGTATGTGTTTAAATGCAGCAAATATGAAAATCTTGAAATAAAAAAAGCAAAGATTATTGAAGATATTGAAATAAAAATAATGCGAAGGATTTGCATTTCCTTACCACATACCAACATCATCTAACCCATGGGATACTTACAAAATATATGTAGCAACATCAGAAATGTCAAACTCCACCAACAGGGGCAAAATAGTCAAAAGTTGAATTGAAAGGGAGGAAGCCATCTCACAACATGTAGCTGGACCGGGTTGTACTTTTTCGGCTTTGATGATGTCCCGGCTAACAAAATCTTCACTTCATCGACCGTTCGTTTTTGGATTTAGCATACTTTCATTCATTTTTGTACAGTAGCATCTTACTTCCATTTTATTCTATTATGACATCGTACTTTCGACTTTTTTTACTCTAAAAGTTGCATTATAAAAGTTCCAATAACATATAAATAAATAAAAATAGATATTTTGACCAATCAAATAAAGAAAATGACTAACCTATTGTAGGTTTTTAATTGGCACATTTTAGCATTTCATACCCAAAAAACATTATAGGGGCATTTTGGACAAAAGTTGTTAAAAATCATTATTTTTTAATAAAAAGTAAAAGTATGTAGGGGCATTTTCATTAAAAACTCTTGAAATAACTTTTTTTAACAAAAGAACAGTATGTAGGGGCAGTTTGGTCAAAACTGTTAAAATCATTTTTTTTATCAAAAAATAAAGGACATGATTATTAACGGTAAATAAAAAACATCTTATCTTATTAGGAACGTTCATTGCATGAAAACATCGTTTCATAGGAGGTGACCCTGTGGTGAACGACGGGACTGTTTATTTATTTATTTATTTTTATATGTGTTGAACAGTCATTATCTTCCCCAATAATCTTGTCCACTTGTTGTCTCTTCCAATTGACTGTATGTATTCAAATAAGTAATTCGAATCAAAATCACAAGAATCAAAGTAAGTATAAGCAAATCAAAATGAAATCTCAAGTAAATATGAATCACTTTACTTTTTGGATTTAGTAGTAGTAGTAGTAGTAGTAGTAGGATCAGTCTGTTGTTATTTGTGAATTTTAAACGACCATAGGCATAATGATCATTAAGTCGGTTAGAAAGCAGAAAAATATGTTGTGTTGTTTACCCAAATAATTTGTTAAATTCATTGATAAGATAATCCATAAAAGACCTGATTAATAGTAAAAAGTACACAACCTTCCTTTTTTTCATAAAAAAACTAAAGTGCAATGTCATTTATAATAGCCAAAAAAATAGTTTATTAGTTGTGTAACTCTTGCTATGACAAAAATACGAACCTAAAAAACAAAGTAAAAGCCAAAACGTTGCCAAAAAAATTTTAAATGACCAAGGTCATAATGGTCAATAAACGGCTTGCGTCACCGTATAATTAGTATAATCGCATAGTCTAATTTCCTTTCTACACTCGTCATTGTTTTTAATTGAAAAGAGTTATTGGTAACTGAAAAATGACAGTTTTCATTAAAAGAGTAACAATTCATCAGGTGGTTTGATCATCAACACCATGACATGACATGAAATCTTGTGGGATGTCATATGTCATCATAATTCAAATCAGGAGGTTACAAATTCGTTATCTCAAAAGGAATGAAGATTAGTAATTCAAATGTTTCTTCCAATCTTCAAGAATCAAGAAAAGTATATGATGCAAAACATAATTTTTAACGATTTATATGAAAAAAGAAAACACACCTTCACACCATTCAGGAACTTTGAAGTGCCACTTTGAGCAACAGTTCCAAGGGTAATCTATTACTTCTTTTTTGGTCATTCCAATACCATTAGGCAGAAGTGATGGAATAAAACAGGGATGTATGAAAAAAAACAGGGATGTATGATATTACAAACCTTTACTTCAGCTTGCCAAAGATTTTAGAGCTTTCATGTCGTCTATGTGGAGAAGAAAACCTGTAAAACCAACCAAGAATCAGATCTGCACCGAAATATCACCAAAATTCGGCATTATATCAATGTTAATCAAAATGAAAAAAACCGAGATAAATGGTGAAGTTTCAACTTTTTACAAATTTGCCCTCGTTAATGTACCTCCATTGCAATTCCATAAGTTGCTCCCATGAGTTTTAAACCACTTTTTCTAAACTCCTCAAACACCCGTGAAACTCCCTTCCACTGACCGGAGAAAGTACACACATTCAACACCTACAAAAAAAAATTTAAAAACATTATTTAAAATAAATAACAAAAGTATACAAATTTGAACTATAAGTCTTTTAAAAATTCCTCTTACAGTATCATATACGACCAAATCGAGTTCGACAACCGGATCCTAGTTTTTGTGAAATCATCCTTACGCTTACCAGATTGTTGCTAATCTGCAAAAAAATAAAAAAACAAATAAAATAAAATAAAAGACCTGAACAAACAATGCTGAGGGTAACAGATAACAGGGACGGTGAAACCAGGCTCAAAAAGTAATATAGCAACAACAATTGTAACACTACCAATACGTTATGGTGAAAGGGACAGAACCGGTAAAGTTGCGCGGAATGAAAGACACATGAATGTCCTTTTTAGGGTATTGGTAGTTCGAAACATTTGCCATTTGATTAATTTACTTCTAGGTGAGGGAACTTCAAAGCTTTGCTGGAATTATAACCCTATTTGTCATGAGAAACTGCAAATGACATGACCAAATCACGTTTATTCAAATAAACAACTCATCTTTTGCTTTAACAATCTATTAAAACTTGTGTTACCTTACTTCTGTGTCTATGTGCGACAACGTAGAATCTGGAATAAACAGAATGTAAGAAAGAAGAAGGCACTGTAATTTTGAAAATTAACAAACTTCAATAATACCTCAAACTCCTCGTTCTTGAAGAATCACAGAGGCAATTCCTCTACAAATAGATTCAAACAGATATATTAGCTTCATGCCCTAGATAAAAAAAAACCTGCATAATGAAAAAATAAATAAATAATTACCTGGTTGATGAAAAAATAACAGGTTTGGTTCCACAGGTGTCAACGTCGTCTGCTTTTGTCCAACATATTTGGATTTGAGGAAACAACAGGCATGCACAACAGATGGAGGAAAACATATTGGAACTTGGCTCTTATGTAAGCATCTATGAGAGAGTTGAAATCTAACCGGGAACCTTATTTCGACAGATCAACAAACAAAGTCAAATTCGTCAAATTTAAACCCTAACTCGTGTTGTAAAGACCTAAAACGGATGCTTCCCTATCGGTCGCGTCCAACCTCTGCACCACACTCATACTTTTCCACTCGAAATTCGAAACAAAAGAAGATTAGGGCAAACCAGACACCAACCGGGGATGCAAAATAAAGGATGAATCGACCGACTCCTGTCGATGCCGACATCGATCGGAATCGGAAGCAAATAGAGTGAGAAGTAGATGAAGAAGGTTTTGAGGCGGTAATCGGTTAACATGATGAACAGTTGTCGGATTAAACATACTCCATGAACGGTGTGAATAGGAAGTGAGCAGTGGGAGGGATCGAGAAGAGCAAAATGACCGACAGTTTGGAGGGAATTTGGAGCAGAGATAAAAGGAAGAAGGTGGAGCGATGAGGGAAGATAAAGTGAGCGGTGGCGGAAGGGTCGGGAAGTAAAAGGCGTAACACAACCCTTGAATTTAATAATAAAAAAAAGGAAAAGAAGTACAGCAATCCAAGCATAATTGGGTAGGAAAACGGCTAAGAAAGCATACAACAAACACGTGGAGAGACCAGAAGAGTAAGCAGTCGAAAATATGAGGAAAACGTCAAATACCGCCCAGAACACAAATCATTCCAAATTAGGAAACCCCGGTATAAAGTGAGGGCCATTTGTGACAAAAAATAATGAAGTTCAATATTCCTTACTGGTCCCTTTTTAATATATATATAAATTATAACTTATATTAATCGTGATTATAATAATACATGAGTATAATCATTTAATCATATGTGATTATCTATAAATATCAATATGTTGTTGTATAATCATATGTGAATATATAAAAACATATAAATATTTATAGACAATATTCAAGAAAGAGTTAATTTTAACTTGTATTAATCATATGTAATTATGAATTACATCCAAAAAGACTTTAAAATGTACAAATTACAGGCAAGACTTTAAAATAATTAATACAAAAACAATTTTTAACACAAAATAATGTTAAATATCTTCTCCTTCACCAACATTCTTCCCTCTAAACCTATATATAACTAAAATATGTTAATAATCATATGTGATTGTACATATATATTTTTAATAACCATATCTAATTTAGAAATATATATATTTGTTTTTACCTTCTCCTTCAACATTCTGTTCTTTTTCATTATTATCAACATTTTTATCTGCTCTTTCATCTATATTCTCTCTCCAAAGCTGAATATTAGTAAAATATTTTATTAATCATATGTGATTAGACAAATATATTTTTAATAATGATATCCAATTTAAAAATATATACTAGTTTTTACCTCTTCTTCAACATTCTCTTCTTCTTTATCATCATAACCTTTTTTACCATGTCATTCATCTATATTTTTGCCCTCCACACCTGAATTTAAGTAAAATATATAGTTAATCATATGTGATTTAAAAAAAAATTAATAATCATGTCACCTACACTTTTGCCTCTTTCCACACATCATCATCAAAAAGTTTTTCATTATTCACACCTACCTCATCATGATCCTACTCTTCATCATCTTCATTACTACCTTCAACATTATCATTTTCCTTTTCTTTATTATCATATTCATTCTCATCATCAAAAATGGTATCCAAATGGACTTTCAAATGATTCAGTGTGATATTTTCAGGAAATTTATCGATTCCCTTTTCGGTTAACATATGTAACTTTCTATACTTCATCAGAACCATTTCTTCATAATCCTAAATCACAAATGATTGAAAGTTTATATTAGCATATATGATTAAAGATTAAGATTATTAAATATTGAGAAATTATCTAGTATAATTGTTATAATTAAATTTACCTCCTCATTCAAATCTCTTTCAACAAACTCTTCATTAAACTCTCCGGTACCAAAATCACCCAACTCTTCTTTTTCATAACTTTCTCTCAGTTTCATCTTCTCTGACGTCCAGTGACAGATCACTGGACGTGTTCTTTCAACTTGAATGACCTCAGAATGGACACTATCTACATAAGCCAACTGCAAAAGAAGAAATAGTTGTCATTACAATCATATGTGATTAAAGAAATTTATTTATAAATCACATGTAATTATAGCAATTCAGATTTAAACATAACTGTAAAAAAACCTTAAAATCACATGTGATTATAAATGTGAGATTCACATATAAATTAACATGACATACCGATTCACATGTGATTAAAAAAATTACTTTCAAATAACATGTGATTATAGCAATTTAGATTTTAACATAACTTTAAAAAACCTTGAAAATCACATGTGATTAAAGATAACGAGATTCACGTATAAATTAACATGGCGTATTGATTTACATGTGATTAAAATATTTGTCATTACAAATCATATGTAATTATAAAATTTTACTTTTAAATCATATATGATTATTGCAATTTAGACTTTTAACATAAATATAAAAATCCCTAAAAATCACGTGTGATTATACAGATAATGAGATTCACATGTGATTAAAACATAATTCCTTCTAGCAATTTAGATTTTAACATAACAGTAAAAAAAACCCTAAAAATCACATGTGCTTAAAGATAACGAGATTCATATATAAATTAACATGGCATACTGACTTACATGTAATTAAAATATTTGTCATTACAAATCATATGCAATTATAAAAATTTACTTTTAAATCATACGTGATTATTGCAATTTAGATTTTTCACATAAGTATAAAAATCCCTAAAAATCACATATGATTATACAGATAATGAGATTCATAGTTGAGTAATCATATACGATTAATAGAAGACGAGTTATTAAACATACCACTAAATAAGCAGATGGTCCAACAAAATTGCTTGTCGAACTGGATGGATCATAAGATTGTTTGGTTTTAACCAAACAATCTATCAAATATGAACACCAATCGATGTTGCTTATCTTGGTATCCTTCATGATGTACTTTAGTGGGGAAGTATTTGCTTTTCCTGAAGAGCTTGATTCAATCAAAGAGTTGATCAACAAAGCTAAAAAATTCATTTTGAAATTCATATCCGCTTTGTTGGATGAAACAATCTTCATTTTTATCTCCTGAAGTCGAATCATGCTCTTGTTTTCAAATTGTTGTATCCATTCCTCATAAGTATTATCCTCTATTGTTCTAAATGGAAGTTCCGAAAACTTTTTCCTTCCTAATGGAAATCCAAGGATTTGATGGACTGATTCTCTAGTCACATCAATCTTGCCTCTTTGAAGAATAATTTTCTTTGTTGTCGAATCAAACTTCTCAAGAACAAAGCAACTTAGTGCCCCTGGCACCTCTGTCATCTTCATTTTCAAAAGATCTCCAAAACCCATATCTTCTACACAATCTTTTTGAACTTCATTGAAACCTTGAATTACCGATAGCAAAGCTCCAGGGGAGCACCTATCATCAAATACAACAATTAATGAATTAAATTCATATGTGAATATAAGGATTAATGTACTTAGTATACATGTGTGATATTTGAATCACATGTGATTTAATTAAAAAACAAAAAACATAATCATATGTGATTGATGTTTTTGTGTTTATAAAAAAACGATAATAACATGTGATTATAATATGGATAATCATATGTGATTGGTGTCTAAAAATTGTTTTTCAAATCATATATGATTTTAATAATATATTATTAAAACATTTTTTATTATAATAGATTTTAATCATATATGATTTAAAACACAATATATAAAAGATGATAATCACAAAAATATACCTGTTTCTCATTGTATCAAAATGCTTCTTTATTTGCTTCTTCTTTTTTCTCTTTTTCTCCCTTATTTCAAAATCGGAGTCATCATTTTCATCGACAAGTTTTTTTTCTGTACTTAAAACTACTGCTTTTCTCTTTTTTGAGTCTGGTTTTTCCTCTACTAATATCATAACTGTTTTGGAAATCATATGTGAAGACCATATGTCAATATTAAGAAAATCACAAATGATTAAACAAACTCATAATAAATAAGCATACAATGTTCAACTCAAATTCTAATCACATATGATTGAATTATACCTTTGTCGTTTTTCCTTTTTGATATTCTTTCCATTGTTTCTTCTTCGCTTACTCCTTTTTTCTTTCCCTTTTAACTTTCCTGAGATGTATAAATGTAGATATAATCAAAAAATAAAAAATGATTAAACCATACCATGATAAATAAGAATCCAGTTTTCATAACAGATTCTAATCACATGTGATTGTATATCTCTTGTATATAAAATATGTTAATCATATGTGATTAAAACATAATGTGGGATGTTTGTGTATAATCATATGTAATTGATGTATAAAGGATGTTTAGATGTGTAATCACATGTGATTTTATTATACCTTTGTCATGTGATTGAATATCTTTTGATAAATATAAGATGGTAATTACAAGTAATTAATGTACAAAAGATGTGGTTAAAACAAAAGTAAGTAACTACAAAAACAAGTCCAAGGTACTACCGGAAACAATTTTACAAAGTGAGCATACCTCAAATGACTAGTGAAATCCATAGCTTAAAAAATGAAAGATAGAAGAGATAAGTTGAGATAGATCGAGGCTCGAGCTGGAGAACCGAAAGTGGGTAACGATTAATATAAAACACCAAAGCAAAGATTCGGAAATTGAAAAAGGAGGTGCAAGAGTTGAGGAGACCTACCCTCTACAAGTTGTGGGAAGGACTTGTTGGTCATTCAAATTAAACTAAACACATGAATTCGAGGGGATTGGAATCCTTTTCCCTCCAATTTCATTCATTTCCTGCCAACCAAACAGCACCTTAATGTGTATATACAAGAATAGTTCATGATGTGCCAGATTATGTCCCCAACGCTTTTACATATATACCAAAAATTCAACATATCGTAAACAGTAGGACCTGATGCACTTAGTCTTGGTTTTAAAAAACACAATGCACGTTAATGTGATTAGGATCCTGGAGGCCGATGCGCGATGCGAATGCGCGGACAACAAGTAGGTGTGGCGCACAAGTAGTAATTACCAATATATGTTTATCAATGTACTAAAAACCCATAAAGATATAAAATGAAACCAAATGTAATGAATCTAATGGTAATTAGTTAACCAGAATGCAAAATGCATGGGGATTTTTGATTCCTGTAGAAACTATTTGTATAATTAGACCAGACCATGATTTGCCAAAGCGTGATGTGGTGGATGCGCACATGCAACATGTAGGTCGCATCGCCCCACACTTATGTTGCCCATAGACCCTCACATTGCATCGCAACGGCCACATCACCGCATCAAGCGCACTTTTTTAAACCAAGAACTTAGTCAAAACCAAGCTATGTAAAAACAAATAGTCAATACCTACTTCCTAAAAAAGTAACTTTTAAAGATTACTTGAACTAGTAACTAAAAGTGGTTAAAAAGGAAATATAAAAACAAATAACAATGACTTACAATTATATTAACGGCATTTTGGTCAATTTATTTGTTGAATAAAGAGACTTTTTTTAGTTACTGGGGCAACAAAACTGTATTCCTAATATCAATGCTCACAAATTGTAGTTTACAAAATTTGACAGTTATATGTGTTGGCTGGACAGGAGAATAAGCCGAGATATATATGTAAAGAAATCTCAACTCAGGGTATTGGTGGGGCATAAGAGCAAAATTGGAAATACTGAAATTAGAAAAAAATAATTAAAGCTCAAGAATTTTAAAAGAATCTTGTTGATTGGAGGAGGACCAATATGTGCTATGATTTTTGGTTTCTTGTTATTTACCTACCATCAGAAATCACTTTCACAACACACATGTGAATGAGGCGTTTTGAATGATAAACAATAAAATGAATTTAGTTTTGTTTGGATATTTACAAACCACCATATTGTTTTTAGACATCTAAATATCCTCAATTTATGCAAGTTTGTGTAGTATTATAAACACATTTTTCACTGACAGGTTGAGGAAAAAAAATTTGCTTATCAGAACTTGTTCAGACCATTTACAATATATTATTGTCTGCAAACTGTTCTTCAATTACTAAAAGTGAACATGCTCACAGAATCTTGGTCAATAACTTTGACATCATAGAAAAAGGTATGTAAATCATCTTACCTGTCTTCATTTCAAGATTATAATCAAGTTTTGCTTGTTTGAAAAAGATCAGATAAATGTTCTTGTAAAAAAGGTACGAGACAGATTTATAGTAGGGATCTTTTGTACAAATCAGTAATCATTAAATTCAATGATTTGAATTAATATTTGTGGGAAAGTCTCACTTTAATGCAGATTAATGAGTTAATGAAGAAGAAACTAATATACTTGTTGCATATTTACAGTATCAGCAAAGGGTTCTATTTGAAGTCTGTTACTAGAAAGCTTATTGTAACCACAAAATTAAGAACTCACGAGGAGACAATAAAGAGGAATTGCAAACAACCATCTTAATTGCAATTTCACTTCAAAAATCTAAAATCAAAGTATATCAACCATGTTATTCTCCTCCGATGTTTTCTAATTGCAAACAAAAACCAAGAGCAGGACTGCGTATACGTACCCAAACACTTACAGTATTATTGCAATGTCTATAATTGCAATAATCAGATGCTCATTGTACGATTAAAAAAGAAATAGTAAAAATCGATATCGCTAACCTTAGTTATTTGAACTTGAAAGTTGAAATGAATGGAGGCTTGCTGCTGCTGTGCGTATGCACAGTTGATGGAAAGTGCCGTCGATTTAGGTTATGAGTAACTGCTAGCTATCGATCGATTTGCGGTAAGGGGGAAATCGTCGTCGATATGGCGCTGAGGTGGGGGGAAGTTTTAGGTCAAATTTTTTGAGGAAAGAGCCCAAAACCAAAACCCTTTCTGGTAAAAAAATTGAGGTGATAGCTCTATTCCCAATTTTTTCTTTCTCTTTAAATGTAATTTTTTTTATATATAACTTGCAACGGTAAAAAAAAAAAAAAATTAATCAGGTGGTAGAATTTTTTCATTTTTTTTTTATCAATTTACAACATTATGAATACATTTTCCATTCTACAATTAAAATCATACATTCTTCTATTTTTTCCTCTCTATTCTTTTGACAAAAATAAATCTCAACTCCAAATACCGATAAAAGAAATTTTGTGTGTTTCTACTACAACCATGCCAACTAGAAACCAATTAAATTGATTTAATTTGCATTTGAAAAGCCTCCCAAAAATTAAATTACTACAAGACAAAAGAATGACCAATTGTGCACAAAGGCAAAGCTAATCAATTGATTTCACCAACACTTTTTGTAGAATTACTATTGTTAAATATTACAATGATTGTAATATACATGTTTTTCTTTCGGGTCTCATTCTATATTTATCTGATATCTAATCTACGTGTATGACCCGTTAGGTTCAAATAAAGTAGTTGGCAGTGACATCAACATATTACACCGTATGCATGCATATAAGTCTATAATGTTAGTCAAAGCCAATCTATGGAGATACACATCATTCGACCATAGAGCCGCAATAATATATTTTTGAAAAAGGGACAAGTTGTTTATCATGCTTATGGATGGAAAAGTCTTTTTTGATCAACTATATAAATGCAAAATGTGACTTTCCAACATGTCGATACAACTTAATCGCAATCAAACAAAATTGTCATCAAGTCATGTAAATGTAGTTCACCATTTTCTTTTTTAAATATTGCAATACAAAAGTTACAAAAATAGCCCCTGTAGTTTTACTGATTTTCACTTTTCTAAAATGAAACCTGCAGAAATCTTTTTTTTAGGTATAAAGTTGTATTAAACAACCAAAAACTTAAAAGAAAACAATATAGAACGTACAAAAGGCAGAGAAACTTATGATGGTGGGAGTGGGCTCGGCAACCCGCTCGGTAACCTTCGGGGTGTTAGTACTCAGCATGCCTAGCTCGACTCGGCAACTCGTTAGAAGTGTGTGGGTGAGAGAGGGTGAAAGTTTGAATGGTTTGTGAACGTTGACAATTGAATGAATGGTCAATATGACCGTTTTTTTCAAAAAAAAATCAAAAAATACCAACTTTTTATCCTACATAAATACCATTACATATCATATTTTATCCCACTTCACATTCTTCATTTTTTTTCACTCAAACAACATAATTTTGTGAAAAAAATGGTTTCTCCTTCCAACCCAAAAACTCAAAAAAATACCAAAACACAAACATATCATATGCTTCACCAAATTTCGTTCAAAATCAAAGCGATTAACCTATTTATGGTGTTAACTACTCATTTCAAGCTCAAAATCAACCTCAATATCAAAATCAACCACAATACCAAAATCAACCACAATACTAAAACCAACCTCAATTTCAAAGACAACTTCAATTTCAAAACCAACCACAAATGAACTTCTCATCCCAAATGGAAAATGATTTCAACCCATTTGACGATCTTCCCGACTCCCAAATGAATTTCCAAACCCAATTCCAAACTCAAGGGGAACCCGAAGTCGTCCCCGAAACGGAGTCGGAGCCGGAAAAGAATCGACCACAACCTAACAACCTAAAAAAGTGGAAGGGTGGCTCCAAAGCAAATGGACACCGGCCGAAGAAAATGTGTTAGCTCGTGCGTGGATGGATGAATCTGAAGATGCGATGGTCGGAAACAACCAAGATTGTCCAACTTTTTCCGGAAAGTTATATAACAATTTTCTCACGGAGATGAATCTTGGAGAGTACCGGAAAAAAAGGATCAAATTTATTCGAAGTGGTGAAATGTCAACAATGTGGTGACGGAGTTTAATGGGGTGTTTTTGAATGTCAAACGACAATGACAAAGTGGTGCAAATGACGAAAATATTTTGCAAAAAGCTCTTGAAGTGTACTGGAATCAGAAAGGGACCAATTTCAAATTTCTATATGTTTGGAATATTTTGAAATTGTCAAAAAAAAATGACAAGACATCGATGCTTCTGAATCTTTTACGAGTGGTTCTTCTAAAAGAACCAAAACATCTGAAATGACGTATAGTCAATCATCCGATGCGCATGTCGAGATAAACCTCAATGAAGATGACCCTTTTAAGGTTCCAAGAGCCACTTGTCCCATGGGAAGGGACCGAGAGAAGCGAAAGGGAAAAGCGGCGACAACTAGTTTGGGTGACATCGAGCAACTAACAACGAAAATGGACAATTTGAAGTCATCCTTGGAGCAATACTTGGCGATCGTACAAGAAAAAGAAAAAACTCGTGCCATGGTGATCTTAAGGAGAAGCACAAGCGATCTCATCGGGCGCGAAAGGGAAATGACGATAAAAGTCAAAGAGAAGCTTGCAAAAAAATATAACATCTAGGTTTCGTTATTTTATTTTCATGGTTTCGTTATTTAAATTTCTAGATTTGTAATTTGAAATTCTATGGTTTTTTTTTGTGTGTTGTAATTTTTTTTAGGTTTAACGAAATTTAAGATCTTGATAAAAGTTATGATAAATTATTTTAGACATTTATGATAAGTGTGACAACTCATGTCATGTAATGACAAATTTTGGCTAAAGTGTGGCAAACTGACATGGCGCCTACGCAGACTGTGGCAAGTGTGACACCGCTCCCACCAGCCTTATTGTAGGTGGTAGATTTTCGCCGCCGTGTCTCATTTCCTTTAGAAAAAAAATTGTTAGCAAGTGAGAAACGAGAAGGTAAAAAAATGAAATCTATGACTATTTGAGGTATTAGGCTAAGACCCATTCCATTTTCTTCAATTTATCCATATATGCATGAGCATCCCTATCCATTTCACTTTTTTCAATTCTTTCATTTTTTTCCACCAACGACCTTGCAAGCTTGACAATCTCCTCCTCAACTTATAGTGCTCTTGCATCTCTTTTTTTTCCACCAACTCTTTTGTTTCCACCAACTTCCTTATTTTTTAATGCCTAAAGATTCTTCACTTGCACCTACATGTTCTGTTGCGGTTTCCATTGAAACATCATCATCAAAATCATGGGCACTAAACTCTTCTACAAGACGAGGGAGTGTAGAATATGGCCCACAACTTTGAAAGTCGATTGAGGTCAACCCTTAAAATAGTTTGATGCAAAAATCAATGAACAGCAGGGATTAGTTTTCAATGACAACACGAACTTGTTCAACTGTTTACAAGTTTTATAAATATTAGTATTTGTTATAAAAATAATCATATTAGTATTTGTTATAAAAATATTAACTTCCCCTCTTCCCTCCGTTATTCATTAGTCAGATTAAATTTATTTTTTATAGAATCATATATATAGTCGGTTTTGATTTTCAGTTTCACTCAAGCAACATACTTTGATTTGTAGTAGTCAAAGTGGTTTCTCATTTGCTTCTGATCAACATCTTTACGATGTTCGTTTATCAATTTTTCGCGTATTGTCTTCCATGAACATGCCTTAAGCCTAGAACCCTTATGACCATTAGTGGTTAGTTTGTGGATACATGCATCAAGAAAATTATGGTCCTCACACTCGTTCCAAACCAACATCCTAAAACATAAATATTCAACTAATTTAAATCATCACGAAGGTATAAACCAACATCCTAAAACATAAATATTTAAACTAATTTATCATAACTTTTATCATGATCAAGATAAACACCGAAATTGCTCCCAGTTCACAAAAATAACAAGCTAACATAACTATTTAACATAAAACATTTTTCTACCAATGAAATCAACATCATCCTAAATAATAGCACAGTTAAGGTCAACAGTGTCAGCATATACCCAAATAATTTCATAACATTTGGATTTTGATTTCATAACATTAGAACAAACAAGATTTATGATTTCATAGCTTATAAACAAAAAAGAATTCTGATTTCATAGCTTATACACAAACAATTTCATATTTCATAACATTAGAGCAAAAAAGTATTCTGATTTCGTAGTTTATACACAAACAACTTCAGATTTCATAACATTAAAGCAAAAACGAATTCTGATTTTATAGGCTTATACATAAACAATTCCCGATTTCAAAAATTATACACAGAAAAGGAGAAGATTAAGCTTACCTGTTTGACGAATTTTTGGCCGGAGGTCGGAAATAGGGAGGGCGGGGTCCGACTAAAGGAAGATGGCGGCGACTGGCAAGCTCTCTTTAGCCTCGATGGGGAGCTGTCGATGGAGGCAGCGTTTTTTTGGGTTTGCTTATTTTTGTAAGGTTGCGAGGGAAGAAAGAATGGAGAGGGGTAGGAGCGTCCTTATTACCGGTCAACGTATTTTGCAAGCTAATCGGGTAAGAAAGTTGGGCCGTACAATCTGACTGAGAAAGGAAATATCAAACAGGTGGTGTCTGAAATCGCTGACTCAAACCCACGCAGACATTAAAATATCATATTTATCCGAGCTAAATTTTATCCAAGCTATTTAAATATCATATATACCCTTCTTAAACATTAAAATATCATATTTATCCGAGCTAAATTTTAAATTTCGTATATACCCTTTATAAACTATCAAAATATCATATTTACCCAAATATTTATTTTTAACATTTTTTAATATTTTATAATAGTTTTAAATCCTTATTTTTATCGATTGACTATTATACCCTTTATAAATATAAGTTTAATATATCTCAAATCTATTTCCTTAACCCTTATTGGCCGTTGCAGGTCTCCTCTCATCCCTATCGTCTACTTGTTCCTCAAATTGTTCGCCATTGAAAACAAAAACGCTCCATGTTTAGATTGTTTTCTTCCCTTTCAAAATATAATAGCAAATTATCACTAACTAAAGGGTTATCAACATTTCTTATGTATCCATTTAAACATCATATACTGCCACTCTTTGTCATAAGTTAAAGCATCTGACAAGATTAATTTAAACCTTCAATATTAGGTGATGTCAACAAC